CTTAAAAAAAAAAAAAGAAAAGAAATACTACAATAAATTCTGAAATGTGGATTGTTTACTGTGTTATAGAACTGTAATAATTTTTAATACTTTTTGTAGGTTAAAAACTCATTAGAATAGGGGAGGACACAAACAGATGCCAGATGCCATATTCTTGCTCCGAAGTGTTCAAAAAAATATTTAAAAGCACACAGGAGGAGGAGGTATCAAAGCAACTCCCTCTGTCTAATTCTACAACAATTTGAACACCAAAATAAATTAACAATAGAACTCAATTTTAACCAGCTGGACAGAATAGGAATAAAGTGGTAATCCACGAGTCTATATGAATTTTAAAAAATGAATAAATGAATGAAGAAGGGCAAGTTCTTCTTTATAGCAGAGGGCCAACAAATAAATAACATAAATAAATGACATAAATAAATGATGGAAAGTCATTATTTACTTCATTTGTGACCATGAGAGAAATAAATGACTGAGGCAAGAATCATAAATGGATGCTAACATTATATCAAAGTTTGATAAGAAACAGGAATATTCTTAAGGAATCTTTCCACATTAAAAAAGAAAATGGAAACTCTACACAGGATAGACTTGGCAGAGCCTACCTTATTAAAGTGATCAAAGTTAATATCACAATAGGAAACAAAATGACATCATGTGCCTCCTGATGTGATGCACTGAGGGCAGAATATCATTTACTGTAGCATTCTACCGAGAATGCATTATATGAATGAATCTAAACATGTAGATTAGACAAAACTAAGTTGAGGAGATTCTTTTATTATTTTTTTAAATATTTATTAATTTGAGACAGGGAGAGTGTGTGTAAGCCAGGGAGAAGGACAGAGGAAGAGAGAGACTCTTAAGCCCCAAAGTGGGGTTTGATCTCACGACCCTGAGATCACAACCTGAGCCAAAAACCAAGAGTCAGACGCTCAACCAACTGAGCCACCCAGGCACCCCAGTTGAGTACATTCTATAAAATAATTAGCCTGTATCTTCAAAGTGTCAATGTCATGAAACACAAAGAACAAGAAAGCATTCCAGATTAAAAGACCAAAAAAAAAAAAAAAAAAAAGACATTAAAAACTGGATGCAATGTATTATTATTGCTTGAATTCTGGGCTGGGGGAAAACTGCTATGAAGAATATCATTAGGGGTGTCTGGAGGCTCATCGGTTGGACTTCTGAGTTTGGCTTAGGTCATGGTCTCACAGCTTGTGAGTTCAAGCTCTGCGTTGGGCTCTGTGCTGATAACTCAGAGCCTGGAGCCTACTTCAGATTCTGTGTCTCCCTCTCTCTCTCCCCCTACCCTGCTTGTGCACTGTCTCTCTCTCTCTCTCAAAAATAAAACATTAAAAAAGAGTATTACTGTTTTACATATGCATATTTATATGAAAATAAAATATATATATGGAGAGAGAGAAAGTGAGAAAGCTTGCGAGTATGCAACTGTGGAAAACTTGTGACAATAGATGAATCAGATGAAGGAAATAAGAGTTTATTTTTCTATATAACTCTTCTATAATTTGAGTTAAAAGATTATTACACACAGGTAAATTCTCCTAAACTTCAGTCTCACATATTCTAAACCTGTAATAGTTAAAACAGTATTGGCATGAGAAAAGAGATCAGTGGAAGAGGAAAGAAAAAAAATAACTCAGAAGACTAGGAAACTTCTAGTTAAAACGGTTACCATGGAAAACAAACAGTCAAGCATATGGACAATACAATTACCCAAAACTGCTAGACGATTAATTTTAAATTATCTTCAGAATATTAAGCATAACTAAAGGTAAGCAATCACAAACATTCTGGTAGTTATTTGTTATCTTTACTCAAAAAGGGTATTTTCTCTGAATTTTAAAGTACAGAGTGGCAATCTACAAAAGTGAGCCTGTATGGTCTTATGAAGAACTGGTTGAATTCTGTATACTTTTCAGATTTTCAATTGTAGGTATCTAAAGACATGTTTCTAAGAGCTGCTGACTGCTAAATAGTTTCTATTGCTAAAACAAACAAGAGCACAATCTAGTAGTGATGCACTAAAACTTCATATACATGATTAAAGTTTTAAGGACATGTCTAACGACACAAATAGAAATATATTCCATGATTGTGGATTGGAAGAACCAATATTGTTAAAATGTCCATAGTACCCAAAGCAAACTACAGATTCAATGCAATCCTTATCAAAATACCGACAGCATTTTTCACAGATCTAGAAAAAACAATCCTAAAATTGTGACAGAAGATCCTGAACAGCCAAAACAACCTTGAAAAAAAAAAAAGAACAAAACTGAAGGGATCACAATCCCAGATTTTGACATAAACTACAAAGTTGTAGTAATCAAAGCAGTAGGGTCCTGGCACAAAAACAGACATACAGATTAGTGGAACAGAAGGGAGAGCACCAAAATAAACCCATGATTATATGGTCAATTAATCTTTACAAAGGAGGCAAGAATATGCAATGGGAAAAAGTCTCTTCAACAAATGGTGCTGGGGAAACTGGACAACATGCAAAACAAAGAGGCTGGGACCATTTTCTTTCACCATACCCAAAAATAAACTCAAATGGATTAAAGATCCAAATGTGAGACCTGAAACCATAAAAATCCTAGAAGAGAGAACAGGCAGTAATTTCGCTGATGTCAGCCACAGCAACATTTTTTTAGACAGGTTTCCTGAGGCAAGGGAAAGAAAAGCAAAAATAAACTATTGAGACTGTATCAAAATAAAAAACTTCTACACAGCGAAGGAAACAATCAAGAAAACTAAAAGACAACCTACGGAATGGGAGAAGATATTTGCAAATGACATATCTGATAAAGAAAGGGTTAGTATCCAAAATGTATGAAGAACTTACACAACTCAACACCACAAAAACAAATAATACAATTAAAAAATGGGAAGAAGACAGAAACAGACATTTCTCCAAAGGAAACACACAGATGACCAACAGACACATGAAAAGATTTTCATCATCACTTATCACTAGGGAAATGCAAATCAAAACTTCAATGAAATATCACCTCACACTTGTTAGAATGGTTAAAATCAAACAGGAAACAACAAGTGCAAACATGGATGTAGAGAAAAAGAAACATCTGTGCACTGCTGGTGGGAATGCAAACTGGTGCAGCATTCCTCAAAAAAATAAAAATGATCCAGTAATTCTCCTACTGGGTATTTACCCAAAGAATACAAAAATACTAATTTGAAACATTTGCACCCCTATGTTTACTGCAGCATTATTTACAATAGTCAAATTATGGAAGCAGCCCAAGCATCCATCAACTAAATAAATGGATAAAGAAGATGTGGTATGTATGTATGCATGTATATGCATGTGTGTTTACACACACACACACACACACCAGTGGAATATTATGGTTCATAAAAAAGAATGAAATCTTGACATTTGCAACAGCATGGATGGAGCGAGAGGATGTAATACTAAGAGAAACAAGTCAGTCAGAAAAAGACAAATACTATATGATTTCCCTCATAAGTGGAATTTAAGAAACAAAACACAGAAACACAAAACAAAAAAAGAGACAAATAAAAAAACAGACTCTTCACCTTAGAGAACAAACTGATGGTTCCCAGAGGGGAGGTGAGTGGGGGGATGGGTGAAGGAGGTGAAGGGGATTAAGAGTACACTTTTGATGAGCATTGAGTAATGTACAGAACTATCAAATCACTATATTGTACACCTGAAACTAATATAACACTCTGTTAACTATACTTGAATTAAAAAAAAGAATGTGTTAAGATTAACAAAGTATAAGCAAATGTCACATGTATGTGTTCTCTTACTCTAAGAAATTAAAAATAGAAGAAATAAGAAAATAAGTAAGAGAAAACCAAGATAATCAAAGACGACAACCAAAGAAGTCACAAGTCAGTTCTACAACAATAAATGATGGTATAGTGAATTAAAAATAAATTTTGACATAATTATAATCCCCAGATGAAACAGAGTTGTGCTATTCTCATTATCTTCTTGAGGAAAATGAGGAAACCAAAACAAGGAATACCTCAACTCTATCCCTTTCAACTTTAAAGAACAGCTTGAGAATATAAACAGAGCAATGAGAAAGTATACTTCTGTGATTAACTTTTAATATGAAATCATAATTGTTATGTCTGCTGAAATTCTTACTGCTTTAGTATTTAAGCATTCATTACCAAATGGAAATACATGAGACCACCCCTAAACACCACCTATACTTCACTATTGGTTGATATTTTGGTCTAATGAATGAGTATATGCAGTATACAAAACAACTCTTAATTCTTACAACAGATTGTTATTGCTAAGTAACAATAACTATATGTAATTGTCAATTAAAATTAACTACATTACATGTAACCATTAACAACTGTAGTAACTGTAACTGTTAATTAACAATTAACAACTTAATTCTCATATAGAATTGACTATTTTAAGTGTCTTCCAGACTAGAGAAATTTGGTGAATTCCTGCCCTTTCCATTCCAACTTACATATGAAGGCAAAAAGGTCTAAAATCTAAATAGAGGCTCCAAGTTTACTTAGCTATGGTTCTACTATAAAAAGTAAGCCGTACCTCAGGCTTACCATTATCAATATCTAGAAAAGTACCTACAATATAGCCATAATTAGGAATTTTCATCAAACTGAATCAAGTTTTGAAGTTACTACTATGGAAATTAATGGGATTTTTCCTAAAAGAACAATAATGTTTACTTTAGTATTAAATTTTTAAAATACATTATAAAAAAGTTTCTCTACTTTTTTCTGTTCAAACCTGAAGATATATTACACCTACCAGTAACATCCAATCATGAACACCTACCAGTAATATTCAATTACTATAGCAATAATTCTCAAAAGAGGCATCTGCATTTAAGGATTATACTTTCTATGTAAGGCTTTTAATAATCCTGTGTGATCTCAGAGAAGCTTCGTCTTCTAAAATGGACAAAGAAGGAATATCAACAAACTCCTACCTGTTCTGGCATAGCTCCATGTTCAATTCCAGTCTTCAATAATCTGTAGCAATTACCAAATAGATCCCATTTTGTGAGATCATGAGCACTAAAATAAAAAAAAATGCATTAACTTTATTCTAGAGTAGAAGAAAATTGAAATTTGAACTCAGTTTGAGTAGGTAGAAGTATAAACTAACTTCATTTTCTTACAGAATCAAAAAAGATGGATAAAAAATGTTCAAGTACTCAGAAAGAAAGGAAGAACTAAAGAGGATGGAAGTAGAGAAAAAAGGAAGGAAGGAAAGAAAAAGGAAGAAAAAGGGAAAAGGGAAACAGGGACAAGGACGATGAAGGGGGAGAGGAGACAAAATATATAAGCTGATATTAGGAATTAATTAAAAGAAACTAATTAACAATAAAAATTCGCACCTTTCAATGAAGGTTACTACTACATAGTCAACCTAAGCTTGTATTCCATTTCATTCTTCCTAGTATATTTTAAAACACATTTTAACAAATCCATTCATAATTTCAAAACATAAAAATACATATGTATTTTTTTT